TATAGATTTGACTGTATGTACCTTTATTGGCAACATGATGTCTCTGCTTTTTAATATCCTGTCTAGGTTTGTCATAGCTTTCCTTCCAAGGAACAAGTGTTTTTTAATTTCATGGCTGCAATCACCATCTGCAGTGACTTTAGAGCCCAATAAAATAAACTTTGTCACTGTTTCTGCTTTTTCCCCATTTATTTGCCTTGAAGTAATGGGAATACATGCCACAATCTTAGTTTGTTGAGTGTTGAGTTTTAAGCCAGATTTTTCACTCTTCACTTTCACCCTCAAGAGGCTCATTGGGTCCTCTTTACTTTCTGCCATTAGAGTGATGGTGGTAGTTTAGTTGCTAACTCATGCCTGAATGTTGCTATCACATGGACTGTATCCCACCAGGATCTTGTCCATGGGATTTTCCAGGCAAGAATACTGCAGTGGGTTGCCATTTCCTTCTCCAGGGGATCTTCCCAACCCAGGGATCAGACTGGGGTGTTCTGCACTGCAGGTAGATTTTTTACTGATTGAGCTACCAAGGAAGACTGCATATCTGAGGTTGTTGATATTTTCCCAGAAATCTTGATTTCAGCTTGAGATTCATCCAGCCTGGCATTTTGCATGATGTACTCTGCTACAGGGAACAAAGGACTTCCAAATTTGGAAGGAGTACATCCAGGCTGTCTATTGTCACCCTGCTTATTTAACTTATGTGGAATTTCTATTATGAAAAGAGGCAAACTAAAAAGAGAGGCTAGTATTTACACCCAAAGCAAGGATATCACTCAGAAAGAATTGTGCGATTGTCCCTATCCCCAGCTCTGGAAGCCAGAGTTCAGAGGGTTTGTTCATAGGGTGATGCAGAAACTGAAACAGAGATCTCCAAGATTCTACAAAGAAACTCATTTTATTTGAATAAGACTGTGGAAAGGTCAGGGCTTCCCTAGTGGCTCAGATGGTAAAGAATATGCCTGCAATGCAAGAGAATGGGTTTTATCCCTGGGTCGGGCACATCCCCTGGAGAAGGAACTGGCAACCCACTCCAGTGTTCTTCCCTGGAGAATTCTGGAGGAGCCTGGTGGGCTACAGTCCATAGTGTCTCAAAGGGTTGCACACAACTGAGAGAATATGCTTTCACTTCATTTCACATGGGAAGATCAAGTCAAATAATTCCCTCAAGCTATGAAAGATTTTGCTGATAAGCAGTTAAGAGGAAGCTTATGATTTCATGACAGATTCAAGCTAAACCATTTGCAAGCTAGTTTATCATAGAAAACCAGAGAAAGGCACAGCTAAGAGCCTTCCTGAGGTCAGAACACATCTCAAACATTGACTTCAAAAGTATCCTTGAAAAAGAGAATGAACTTTGGGGTGTCATATTCTGGAACAATTTATGTTCCCAAGATATTATCAAAAACTGTAAGGACTTCCTTGGTGATCCATTGGTTGACTTCACCTTCCAATGCAGGAGGTGTGGGAGCTCAGATCCCACATGGTGTGGGATCTTAAAACAGAAGCAATACTTTAACAAATTCAATAAAGACTTTAAGAATGGTCAACATCTTTATCTATATATATATCGCAAATCACTCAACAATTGATGAAAGCTACCAGCCAGGGAATGTGAATATGCCCAAGGCTACATACTCTAAATAGCTACATCAGAGGTTTTACCCTGTAGTGGAAAAAGACTTCATTAAATAGTCCATGTAGTCACTAAATATATAGGAGTAACAATACATGGAATTGAAGTTGCTACACTTCATTGTCTAAATGTAACAGTTAATAATGTCACAAAACATATAAAGAAATAAAGTATGTGACCTACAGAGGCAGAAAAGAGGCAATAGAATCTTCCTGTGAGATGGTAAATGATTGGCACTAACAGAAAAATACTTCAAAATAGCTATTGCCAATGGGCTCAGTGAACCAAAGGAAACTATCAAAAAGGCAAAACACTCAAATTAATAAAATTAGAAACTAAAATTAAAAATATAAAAGATTGTAGGAGACTATTGTGAATATAGGAATGTAGAAAATATTCCTACAAATTGGAGAACTTAGAAAAATGGATAAATTCCTATAAGCATACAACCTACTTTCAGGATACTATTCTTATAGAACAAAAGTATAATAACAGGTTCCATCTAATAGAGTCTATAAATAAGAGATAGAAATCATATTTTACAAAAGTAACAAATGGAAATTTTGGAACTGAAAATTACTATGTCTGAAATGAAAAATTCACAAGCTGGAGTTAACAGTAGATTTGAAGAAGCTGATTAAAAAGCAAGTGAACTTGAAGATAGATCAATAAGTTAACATAATCCAAAGAAAAGGGAAGAAACGAATAAAGAAAAGTGAACAGAGACTTAGAGAATGGTGCATGTGCTGTGTGTGTTCAGTCCCTTAGTTGTATCCGACTTTGGGACCCCACTGGCAGGACTGTGGCCCTCCAGGCTCCTCTGAACATGGGGATTCTGCATTCAAGAATATTGGAGTGGGTTGCCATGCCCTCAGGGATCTAACCCAGGTCTCCTGCATTGCAAGCAGGTTCTTTACCATCTGAGCCACCGGGGAAGCCCTATGTACTAACCTGCTTAGCTTCTGAGATCAGACGAGATAGGGTGTGTTCAGGGTGGCATGGCCATAGAAGTAATAAAGCACACTAACATACACAAAAATGGAGTGCCAGAAGAAAAAGGTGCAGAGTAAAATATTCAAAAAATAGTGCCTGAAAACATCCCAATTATGATGTAAAACATTAATCGGTACAACCCAATTGTGCAATTAATTCCAAGTAGGATAAATATTGAATAGCCATACACAGATACTAATGAAATATTGAAAACTAAAAACAGACAGTCTTGAAGTGTTGAAAGAAAAATAATTCATCCTTACAAGTGAATGCCAAGATATTGCTTATTTCTCATTAGACACAAGGAATGTTCTCTAGCAGTGAGATGATATATTGAAAGTGCTAAAAGACAAACCTGTAAGCCAAAAATTCTACATCAAGAAAAACTATCTTTCAAAAATGAGGTCATGGGGTTCCCTGGTGGCTCAGTGGAAAAGAACCCATCTGCCAATGCAAAAGACATGGATTTGATCACTGATCCAGGAGAATCCCACATGGTGCAGAGCACAATGCACCACAACCAGGTCCATGCACCACAAGTAGTGAGCCTGAGCTTTGAAGCCCAGCAGCCCCAACCACTGAGGCCACCGGCCACAACTACTGAACCCCGGGTGCCCTAGAGTCTGTGCTCAGTAACAGGAGAAGCCACTGAAATGAGAGAGTAGCCCCCACTGCTGAAGCTAGAGAAAGCTCACGCAGCAGCAAAGATCTAGCACAACCAAAAATAAATACTTATTTTAAAATGAAGGTAAAATATAGATAGTCTCATTCTCCCTATCACCCCAAAAAAGAGTTTATTTCTGGGAAATCTGCCTTATAGAACTTGAAGGAAGGCCACTGACTGAGGAAAGTAAACCTAGACTACAATCCTAATCACGGTGATCGACCAAAGAGCCCTGGTAAAGAGAAGCAACTATGTCAGGTAGCCTAAGTGCATAAATCTTCTCCTTTCTTCTCTTAACAAATATAAAAAGCAAGCAACTAAAATGTGTTTAGTTGCATTTCTAGACATATGACATGGTTATTTAATAATATATTTGAGAGGTGGGTGCAGTGGCTCAGGCCCAGGTGCTGTACCTGGGATGCACAGCCTGGGCATGATGAGTCAAAGTTGCACTTCTGGCCACAGAGGAAGGGAGAGAACATCAGTGGTTATGTTCCTAGTAATGACCTATTAGAGCCACATGTTGGGACCCAAGGGTGAGGTGCAGAGAAGCAGTGGTGTGAACATGGCAGTTGTGAATCGGAACCCTGACTAGGACCCATGGTGAGGCACAGAGTATCTGCACTGTTGCCCCAGCAATGATAAGCTAAAGCCATGACTCAGGACCCAGGAATGGTGTGTAAAACAGTAGCAGCTCAGCCTAGGTAATGGCCAGTCAAAACCAGAATTAGGAATAACAGGGTGAGATCCAAATAAATAGCAGCATGGCCACAGTTATTAAGGACAAGCCACTGACTTAGAACTTGGGAGCTGGGCACAGATCAGAAACTCTATTTGCACAGATAGTAAGGCACTGTGACACCTCGATCAGGGAAATTGGGGTACAGGAGAGATGGGGAGACTCCTTGACCCCAAGATCAGGTCTCACCACAGTGGCATTTCCAACCTCAGGAAGGACACAGCAGCAGGGACCCTGGGCAGCTCTGTCAGCTGAATCAGTGTAGGTCTCACTGTGGAAGTGCTCAGGAGCAAGGCTGCAAAGGTCATAATGATGAGGTTGCCGGAGTTCCCTTGAATTATTGTTCCTCATGGGCTGAAATCCCTCTGAGTGGATCTCTGCCCGTACCAAGTTCCTCTGAGCTGAAGGAAGTGGTGTGGGGATAAAATCTTTCCCATGCTTTTCTATACAGTAGTCGTCAGATTTTGCAACCTGCAGGGTTTCCACTACTTCTTCATTGTAGCCCAGAAATTTTGAAAAGTAATTTATACTGGTTCATAGTTGTTCATTTATTGTTTTTCTGGTTTTTGTGAAGGATGCAAGTGTTGGGACCTCCTAATGTTCCATCTTGTTGATGTCACCTTTCTCTCATTCCATGTCAAAGTGACTGAAGACACAAGAGCCTCTCACTTGCTATTGTTTTACATAGTCTTCTTTCTTACATAATTGATACAACTGAATTTGTGTGTACAAGGTCATCGACTTTTAGCTGGGTGATAGCACTGACAAATCAATATAAACACACTGTATAATCTTGAAGTAGTCTACACTTTGCCCTTTTATCTGATTTCCACATCTGCTGACTATTCATGTAACCTATTTATTTGAGGCAAAGGAGTTATAATTTAACTTCTGAATGATTTCTTCTGGATATAAGCCTGAGCAATAGCAAAAGGATATAGTAATTGTTTAAACTACGGCATATGAACAAGATGTCTATGAAATGGCTCTTGCTTCTGCAGCTGTTACAGCTCACTTGCTACTTTAGCTCTGGGAGCTGTGGAAAGGTGCTGGTGTGGCCAGTGGAATTTAGTCACTGGATGAATATGAAGACAATTCTGGATGAACTTGTGATGAGGGGTCATGAGGTGACCGTTCTGGAATCTTCAGCTTCCACTCTTATTGATCCAAACAAACCATTGGCTATGAAATTTGAGACTTTCCCTATATCTTTAACTAAAGATGATTTTCAGAATGTTGCCAAGATTTTGATTGAGACATGGATGCTTGTGGTGAAAGATTACTTTTGGATCCATCTTTCAACAATGCAACGTTTATTGGAGGAATTTTCTGATATTGGTATAAAGATATGTAGTGAACTGGTTTCAAACAAGAAGCTTATGACAAAACTACAGGAATCAAGGTTTGATGTCGTTCTTGCAGATGCTGTTGGACCCTGTGGAGAGCTTCTGGCTGAGGTACTTAAAGTACCTTTAGTGTACAGTCTCTACTTCTCACCTGGCTATTTGGTTGAAAAGAGGAGTGGAAGGCTTTCATTTCCACCATCCTATGTACCTGTCATGTTGTCTGAATTAAGTGATCACATGACATTTATGGAGAGGGTAAAAAATATGATATATGTACTTTATTTTGACTACTGGTTTCAGATGTACAATGAGGAGAAGTGGAATCAGTTTTACAGTGAAGTCCTAGGTAAGTCAGGGTTCCCTAATGGCTGAGTGGTAAAGAATCCACCTGTAAATACAGGAGATGTGGGATAAGATCCCTGGGTTGAGAAGATCCCCTGGAAAAGGAAATGACAACCCATTCTGGTATTCTTTCCTGGAAAATCCCATGGATGGGTGAGGCTACAGTCCATCGGGTTACAAGAGTCAGACACGGCTTAGAAACCAAACAACACACAACAACTAGGTAAGCCATGTTCTTACTTGGTAGCATTAAATTCTCTTTCCCTGTGCTTTGGAAGGTGAGTTTGTATAAATATAATTTCACATAAACTTGTCTCAAAAAGTGAAAGAGTGAAATAGAGATATAAAATGACCCATCAATCTTATAAATATTATGAAAACACTTAAATTATAGGGTAAGGTAGAACCCATTACTAGTTTCAGATACCAGGAAGTCATATACCACAAATTAAAGCACATAGGACTTCTGCAAGTGAATATTATCCAACTCACAAAACTTCTTTCTCTTTAATTTAAAAAAATCACTAGAAATCTCATAAAATGTCTTAATAAATGAAGACATGTACACAGAGAATTGCACACATATTATATTATACTATGTTATGTTTATATTTATCAAAGAACAGATACATTCAAACATCTTTGACCACATCATCCCAAACTCCTTTAAAAAACTACCTAAAATATATACACATGGCAATATTCTCATTTGATCCAACATTTATTATTGTTTTTTGTTTTGTATTTCACTTTCAGGAAAGCCCACTACATTAGTTGAGACAATGGGGAAAGCTGAAATGTGGCTTATTCGAAACTACTGGGATTTTTCATTTCCTCGCCCACGGCTACCAAATGTTGAATTTGTTGGAGGCCTCCACTGCAAACCTGCCAAACCCCTGCCTAAGGTCACCTGCTCCTCTTTGTTCTTCTTTGTTATCTTTGTGTTTTCAATAGGAATCATGCTGTATTCTTTATTTAAAATGTTTGATTACAGTGAGTCAGATGTGGGAAACTGGATAAAGTGAACTTCTAGTTAGATACTGATTTATTTCTATATGAACAAAGTATCTGAATTTCATTGTCATTACCGAATAAGCTAGAATATGTGGGACACTTTAAGAATATGTCAGTTAAATAACAGCTTCGTTATTCGACACATAATGAAGCATAATCAGATATCCACTAAACAATATTTATAGTTACATTACATTTTATATAAGTAATATAATAATAGCTATATTATTATAATTGTAATGCTATAGGATAATTACATATGTCACATATTCTAGAAGTGAGTATTAACATACACTAATGGTATAGACACAGTTTTTGCTACCTTACACTCCACATGGAAAGACAGAATACAAGCAAGTCATAAAAATTGTGTGAAAGTGTTGTAAAAAGGAAAGTACAGAATGCTAAAAAGTATCCAGTATGAATCATAGACAGTATCTCTGATTCACTGATAATTAAGGTGAAATCAGAAGAATGCTCAAGAATAAACAGAAGGGATAGGCAGGGGTAGAAGAAGATAGATAAGAAAAGCATGTAGAGTAGTAATGGCAGTTGCCAAGAAGTCCAAGCTTCGTCTAAACAGGAAGAGCCCAAGTAAAGAGACAGATGATGCTGGTGAAGTCAGCTGGAAACAGACAGCAACTTTAAACATCTAGTAGGGGCATTGGGAAAACATTGAAAGGATTAAGAGAGCAAAGTGCAGTCAAATATTGTTAAAACAGGTTTTCCTGGTAACTCAGCTGGTAAAGAATCCACCTGCAATGCAGGAGACCCCGATTGGATTCCTGGGTGGGGAAGATCCCCTGGAGAAGGGATAGGTTCAGTTCAGTTCAGTCACTCAGCTGCGTCCGACTCTTTGTGATCCCATAAATCGCAGCACGCCAGGCCTCCCTGTCCATCACCAACTCCCAGAGTGTATTCAAACTCATGTCCATCGAGTCGGTGATGCCATCAGCCATCTTATCCTCTGTTGCCCCCTTCTTCTCCTGCCCCCAATCCCTCCCAGCATCAGGGTCTTTCCCAATGAGTCAACTCTTCGCATGAAGTGGCCAAAGTATTGGAGTTTCAGCTTCAGCATCAGTCCTTCCAATGAACACCCAGGACTGATCTCCTTTAGGATGGACTTTTGGATCTCCTTGCAGTCCAATGGACTCTCAAGAGTCTTCTCCAACACCACAGTTCAAAAGCATCAGTTCTTCAGTGCTCAGCTTTCTTCACTCCAAGATTCACATCCATACATGACCTCTGGAAAAAACATAGCCTTGACTAGACCGACCTTGGTTGTCAAAGTAATGTCTCTGCTTTTCAATATGCTGTCTATGTTGGTCATAACTTTCCTTCCAAGGAGTAAGTGTCTTTTAATTTCATGGCTTCAATCACCATCTGCTGTGATTTTGGAGCCCCAAAAAATAAAGGCTGACACTGCTTCCACTGTTTCCCCATCTATTTGCCATGAAGAGATGGGAACAGATGCCATGGTCTTAGTTTTCTGAATGTTGAGCTTTAAGCCAACTTTTTCACTCTCCTCTTTCACTTTCATCAAGAGGCTTTTTAGTTCCTCTTCACTTTCTGCCATAAGGGTGGTGTCATCAGCATATGTGATTATTGATATTTCTCCTGGGAATCTTGATTCCAGCTTGTGCTTCTTCCAGCCCAGCGTTTCTCATGATGTGCTCTGCATATAAGATAAATAAGCAGGGTGACAACATACAGCCTTGCGGACTCCTTTCCATATCGGGGTAGGTTTCCCACTTCACTATTCTTGCACTTCCCTAGTGACTCAGACAGTAAAGAATCCACCTGCAATGTGGGAGCTCTGGATTCAATCCCTGGGTTGGGAAGATCCCCTGGAGGAGGGCATGGCAACCCCCTCCAGTATTCTTGTCTGGAGAATCCCCTTGGACAGAGGAGCCTGGTGGGCTACAGTCCATGGGATGGCAAAGAGTTGGACATGACTGAGCGGCTAAGCACTATACTATATCATTGCTTAAACAAACAAACAACAAGACAACAAGCAACATGTAGTCACTGGGTTAGATGAAAAGGGTAAAGCGTGGGGGAAAAGACCACTTTGCAGGTTGTTGCTAGATGTAGGCAACAATGAGTGAAAACTAGACTACAGTATTCATAGCGATACGACCATACTATATCTTATAATAGTACGAATCTTATATTGTTGAGAGAAAAAATTTGTAAGTACATGTGAAACATCCAAAATGTCACTGGCATATACTCAGTGGTTCAGAAGAAATATTAACTGTTGTCATTATTTTTATTTTGTTATTATAACATACTATCATTAACCTAATATGTGCCAGCCACCTTGATCTAATTCCTAATTGAAATTGATTTTCTTAATCATCAAGATTATAGTATTCAACAAACTGCTAGAGATTAGATATCCCATGGAGTGTTTTAATGGTCAATTATAAAAGTTTACACAAAAATTAATGAAAATAATTTAATAAATTTAATAAAATTTACTCTAAATAAAATTTAATATACTTAATGTAAACTTTTTTAATGTTAGGAATTTTTAAGATTTTTGCCAATCAGATATATAAGATGAAATGCTAAAATCTTTTTGTGAGTTTTGAGGCTCTTCACCTGTGCTTTGGCTAAAATGAACATCCTTCTTCTATCATATAAATGTATGTATTTATAAGGAATATTTAACTACACTAAATCATATATAATATTTAGTTGAAAAATATCAGATATAATAAAATCACAATTTTCTCTAACATTAAAAAAACATAAACTGGAATTACAATTTTCAAGATTAAGAAATTTCTTTTTATGTTCCATAAGGGAGAAACCAACTTTCTAACAGAGGTGAGGTAATATCTCATTGTGATTTTGAAATACATTTCCCTGATGATTAGTGATCTTGAGCATCTTTTCATATACCTGGTGGTGATTTGGAAGTCTTCTTTAGAAAATGTCTATTTTGTTCTCCTGCCCACTCTTTAATTGAATTTTGTTGTATGAGTTCTATATGTATTCTGGACATTAACCCCTCATTCAATATGTGGTTAAAACATTCTTTTTTCCATTCTGTACGTTGCATTTTCACACTGTTGATTGTTTTTCTACTGTGCAGTTGCTTTAAGTTTAATATAGCACCACTTGTGGATTTTTTTCCTTTTGTTGTGGTTTTGAAGTCATATAAAAAAAAAAAATCATTTTAAGACCAATGCCAAGAAGTTCCATCTTCACATTTTCCTTTAGGGATGTTATGGTATATAACATCCTTTCTGGATGTTATAAGTTATAGTCTTATGTTTAAGTCTTTGGAGTTATTTTAAGTCATTTGGAGTTATTTTTGTGAGGGGTGTAAGGCATGGGTCTCATTTCATTTCTTGTGTTTATACTTATCCAATTTTCTCCAAAAAGAAAGAAGTGACTATTCTTTCCACGGGGTTGTTCTTGTTGAATTGCTTGGCTATATATTCAGGGTTTTAATTCTAAAGCCTGTATGAGGTTCCAATTGTCTATTTGGGGGCCAGTACACTATCATTTGAAATGTTGCAGCTTTAGTATAATTTAAAATTGGGAGGTATGATACATTTTGTAGTGTGAATATTTTAACAATATTAAATCTTCTGATCCATGATCTTAGGATGACATTCTATTTATTTGTGTTTTCTTCTATTTCTTACAATATAATCTATTGTGTTTTTTGCCATACATTGACATGAATCAGCCATGGATTTACATGTGTTCCCCGTCCTGATCCCCGCTTCCACCTCCCTCCCCATCCCATCCCTCTGGGTCTTCCCAGTGCACCAGCCCTGAGCACTTGTCTCATGCATCCAACCTGGGCTGGCGATCTGTTTCACACTTGATAATATACATGTTTCAATGCTATTCTCTCAGATCATCCCACCCTCGCCTTCTCCCACAGAGTCCAAAAGTCTATTCTATACATCTGTGTCTCTTTTTCTGTCCTGCATATAGGGTTATTGTTACCATCTTTTTAAATTCCATATATATGTGTTAGTAAACTGTATTGGCGGAGAAGGCAATGGCACCCCACTCCAGTACTCTTGCCTGGAAAATCCTGTGGATGAAGGAGCCTGGTAGGCTACAGTCCATGAGGTCGCTAAGAGTAGGCTGCAGTCCATGGGGTCTCTAAGAGTCCTACACGACTAAATGATTTCACTTTCACTTTTCACTTTCACTCATTGGAGAAGGAAATGTCAACTCACTCCAGTGTTCTTGCCTGGAGAATCCCAGAGAAGTGGGAGCCTGGTGGGCTGACATCTATGGGATCACACAGAGCCAGACACGACTGAAGTGACTTAGCAGCAGCAGCAGCATACTGTATTGGTGTTTATCTTTCTGGCTTCATTCACTCTGTATAATGGGCTCCAGTTTCATCCATCTCATTAGAACTGATTCAAATGTGTTATTTTTAATGGCTGAGTAATATTCCATGGTGTATACGTACCATAGCTTCCTTATCCATTCGTCTGCTGATGGGCATCTAGGTTGCTTCAATGTCCTGGCTATTATAAACAGTGCTGCGATGAACATTGTGGTACATGTGTCTCTTCCAGATCTGGTTTCCTCAGTGTGTATGCCCAGGAGTGGAATTGCTGGGTCATATGGCAGTTCTATTTCCAGTTTTTTAAGAAATCTCCACACTATTCTCCATAGTGGCTATACTAGTTTGCATTCCCACCAACAGTGTAACAACACAATCTTTATAGTTATCACATATAGATCTTTCACGTCACTGGGTAAATTTATTTCTAGTTATTTTCTTCTTTTGATGCTGTTCTGAATGGGATGGTTTTCTCAGATGTTTCATTATCTGTATATCAAAATTGAATTGACTTCTGTATGCTGCTTTTATACCCTGCAACCTTACTAAGTTTGTTGATTAGTTAAAAGTTTTGGTTGAATCTGAGATTTTCATACAAAAAATCATGTCTTTCGCAAACACACACACACACACACACACACACACACACACAATTTACCTCTTCCTCTCTATTTAGGATGCCTCTTATACTTTGTTTCACCTAATTCCTATAGCTAGAACTTCCAGTACTATGCTGAAGCACTGTGAGAGTAGGAATCCTTGTTTTGTTTCTGATTTTAGAGGAAAAGTTTTCAAATTTTCACTGTTGAATGTAATGTTAGCTTTGAGTTTGTCATATATGTTCTTTATTACATTGAGTTATGTTGCTTCTATATCCAATATGTTGACAGTTTTTATCATGAAAGAATGTTGTATCTTATCAAATGTGTTTTGTACATCTGTTTGGAAAATCAAGTTATTTTATATTGTATTCTATTTGTGCAATGCATTAAAATTATTAATATGAGTACACTGATCCAATCTTGCATCCCGAGGATAAATCTCACTTGCTCACTCAATATAATGCTTTCACTGTGTTCTTGAGTTTGGTTTGCTAATATTTTGTGGAGGATTTTTACATCTATACTCAGTGTGGGTATTGGCCTATCATTTTCTTTCCTAGTAATGCTCTTATCTATTTGGTATCAGGGTAATGTTGGCTTTGTAGAATGAGTTTGAAAAGATTCCTAACCTCCCCTTTAATTTTTAAAGATTTTTTTCATAAACTTACAATCATTATTCTATAATGCTTCAAAGAATTTATCAGTGAAGCCATCTGGTCCTGGACTTCTGTGTATTCTTAGGTTTTTGATTAATGATACAATCTCTTTACTTCTTAAAACTGTTGAGATTTTCTACTTCTTTCTGTTTCAGTCTTGATAGGTTGTGTTTTTAAAAAGTTATCTACTTTTTTTCTCATGTATGTAATTTTTGGCATATAGTTATTCATAGTTGTCTCTTGGGAGCCTATGTACTTTTGGAGTATCAGTTGCAGTGTCTCCCCTTTCTTTTCTAATTTTATTTCTTTGAGTCAGGTTTTTTCTTGCTTAGTCTAGCAAAGGTTTTCAATTCTGCTTAGCTTTTTGAAAAGACAAAGGCAAATACTGTATATTATCACTTGTATGTGAAATCTAAAAGTGCTGAATTCATATATTAGTAGTAATATGGTGGTTACCAGGGGCTAAGAGGTGGGAGAATAGGAGAGACGTTCTTTAAGGATACAAATTAGTATTTCTTAGTAAACAAGTCCTAGAGACCTAAGGTACAGGAGGGTGAATAGAGACAACAATATTTTATTATTATCACCATTATATTTACTTAGAGAATAGAGGTTAACAAAAATAGAAACTATAATTATATGATAAGTGGAGGTTCAAAACATCATTAAAATGTCAATCATATTACTGTATATAAATGTATCAATCATGTTATACATCTTAACTTACATAATGTATATTTCAAATATATTTCAACTTTTGCTAAAAGTATATAAATTTGAAAATAAGGATACCTCTGAATGGAGCATTTCAGTAAATCTTATTTCCTTTTATATAAATTTTCATACTTTTGCATATTTTCTGCCATGATCTTATATTATTTTCACAAAGATATCAGAGTATGAAATGAATACATCCACATCAGTGATTAATTTGTACAGATAGTATATATTAAAATAATAGCAAATCGATGTATCTTTCACAGCATAGATGAAACAGCTTTGGTTAGTGAGCCAACATGACAATGCAATGAAGACAAGTAACTCTAAATGCTACTACTGGTCAGGAAAATTTTGCTCCTCTACATTTATTAAACAGGATCATTGAGCAATGTGTAATTATTCTAGTACAGAGTATACATTTTTTTAAATTAGAAAGGAAAAAGGACCACAAGACAAAATAATTCAGAAACAATAGAGGCAAATAAAGATTCACGTGGAGTTTTATATCATTTAAAGTGAACTACTAAAAAAGTGACTAGATCTCTGCCGCAGAAAGCCCTGGGGCACCTCTCCCACTGTTGGGCAGGTACTCACTGGGGGCACTAAATAGGGGACTCTGAGGGTCCTTCACCACAGCTGACATTATGCATCCTACTACGCCATCAATTATGTAAAGGATAAAGGGTGCCACAGGTAAGCAAATTCAGCAATATGGTCAGTCAAACAAGTAACTACACAAGTATTCCTCTGGGTTATAAACAGGACTTATAGGACTGTCTCATAGAACTTCCCAACAATAATACCAGACTTCTCAATGTCAGGGGTTGATAATTCAGACAGTTTGGGAAATTATGACAAATTTTAAGATAAGGATTATAGGGCTGAGTGAATGATAGACTTAAGTGATTCAAATATAAGTTTTCATAGTGCTAATAGAGAAATGAAATATTAATGACTAACCTAAGATAATTCTCAAAAAAAGTATGTCTGGAATAAATAAATGATTTAGTAGACCTATAATAATAAAGAATTTAAGGCCAGTTGAATCCTGCAGTAAGACTCCCTTGTAAGAATCTATGTTAGTAATTAATAGCATAATAGATGAAAAGTCTCAGTATAATAGTGTTTAACAGTATCCTCTTGCCATCAGTGTGCATTGGCCTTATCTCATTTCCTGCTTATACACAAATATATTTGCATAAATATACATAATACTTCTGCTTCATTTACTATGCCAAAGCCTTTGACTGTGTCGATCATCACAAACTGTGGAAAATTCTGAAAGAGATGGGAATACCAGATCACCTGACCTGCCTCTGGAGAAATTTGTATGCAGGTCAGGAAGCAACAGTTAGAATGGGACATGAGACAACAGACTGGTTCCAAATAGGAAAAGGAGTACATCAAGACTGTATATTGTCACCCTGCTTATTTAACTTATATGCAGAGTACATCCTGAGAAACACTGGATTGGATGAAGCACTAGCTGGACTCAAGATTGCTGGGAGAAATATCAATAAGCTCAGATATGCAAATGACACCACCCTTATAGCAAAAAGCAAAGAAGAATTAAAGAGCCTTTTGATGAAAGTGAAAGAGGAGAGTGAAAAAGTTGCCTTAAACCTCAACATTCAGAAAACTAAGATCATGGCATCCGGTCCCATCACTTCATGGCAAATAGATGGGGAAACAATGGAAATGGTAACAGACTTCATTTTTTTTTGGGCTCCAAAATCACTGCAGATGGTGACTGCAGCCATAAAATTAAAAGATGTTTGCTCCTTGGAAGAAAAGTTATGACCAACCTAGACAGCATATTAAAAAGCAGAGATGTTATTTTGCCAACAAAGGTCTGTCTAGTCAAAGCTATAGTTTTTCCAGTAGTCATGTATGGATGTGAGAGTTGGACTATAAAAATAGCTGAGCACCAAAGAATTGATGCTTTTGAACTGTGGTATTGGAGAAGACTCTTGAGAGTCCCTTGAACTGCAAGGAGATCCAACCAGTCCATCCTAAAGGAGATCAGTCCTGAATATTCATTGGAAGCCCTGATTCTAAAGCTGAAACTCCAATTCTTTGGCTACCTGATGCAAAGAACTGACTCATTTGAAAAACCCTGATACTTGGAAAGATTGAAGGCAGGAAGAGAAATGGATGACAGAGGGTGAGATGGTTGGATGACATCACTGATTCAATGGATATGAGTGAGTAAACTCTGGAAGTTGGAGATGGACTGGGAAGCCTGGCATGCTGCAGTCCACGAGGTCTCAAAGAGTTGGACATGGCTGAGCAACTACACTGAACCCTACATAATAGAAGAAATAGACCTCATATCACCCATTTCTTTCCCAAGGACCTCAGGGATGATTTATGTTAAAAAACAACAACAACAACAACAACCATTATGGAAAATAATATGGTTTTTTCAAAATTTAAAAATATTTTTTTAGTGCTGAATATTTATTAACACAACTAACCAATGTCCAAAATGTGAAGTTAACATATTTAAGGAACATGAGGAGGAAAATCACTCTATAAACTATATAGTATGTGGCAAGAATAATATAAAACATATCAACACCTATGGCTCAGCAATTTCTCTTCTGTGGGCACATATACAAAAGAATTGAAATTATTACCCCAATGAGATATCTGTACATGTGCATAAAAGCTCAACTCACAAGAGTCAAGAGGTTGAAGCAACCCAAGGGTCCACCAACAGATGAAGCAATAAACAAAATGTCATATATACAAGCGATGGAATATTACATTTAAAAGGAAATTCTGACAAATGTCACAACATGAAGGAAACTTATGCTAAGTGAAATAAGTCAATCAGAAAAAGACAAATATTGTACAATTCAACTTATAAGAAGTATCCAGACTAATCACATTTGTAGAAACATAGGGCAGAATGAAGCTTGCCAGAGGCTAGAGAACAAGGAATGTGGAGTTTCTTGATGAGCATAGAATTCCAATTTTGCCAGATGAAAAAATCTCTGGAGATTGGTTGCACAGTGTGAATATACTTAATGATGCTATACTATGCACTTAGGAATGATTAACAAAGTAAATTTTATGTCATGTGTATTTTACCACAATATTTTTTTTTAAATCTCCATTCCAGACTATATTTGATTTCCTTGGTTTAGTTGCTGGTAGCAATCCCTTCAATAATGTTTTCTATGATCCTTCTCTTTTATGATGGAACAAATTCTTTTTTCACAGGAAATGGAAGAGTTTGTGCAGAGCTCTGGAGAACATGGTATTGTGGTGTTTTCGTTGGGGTCAATGATCAGTAACATGTCAGAAGAAAGAGCCAATGTGATTGCATCAGCCCTTGCCCAGATTCCACAAAAGGTACACACAGTAACTTAACAGTGAACAACTATTTAATGTCTGTTAAAGTCTATAAAAGGTCTGATTTTAGACATTTTCCAACCGAAAGGTAAATTATATGAGAACTCCAATTTATCTCTCATATATATAAACCAAAATATACATAGTAGGTGTTATAGAATTACAAGGAGTGTCTTTCATCCATAATAAATTTAGATTAACATTGTAATAAAAATAGAACGATATTAAAGAGATACAGTATGAATTTTGGTATTCTAATGGTATCACGGCTCCGGAAAACAAACCACCAAATTCTGCTTTGTCACTTGTTCCATTTCCTTGAATGATATCTGAGGTACAGTACACATACAAATGTTCTCTGGGGTTAAATTTTAACAGAAAATATAGTCACACAATAATGTGAAGCAACATTGATAGAAGACTGTTGTGCTTCTTGCAGTGTACACTTAACATGTAATCCTGGTCTTTTTGTATCCCATAAATTTTGGAACAGACCTATCAGTGTGTTTTTCAGAGTGCTACACAGAGAAAGGATGGACAAGATTCCCCAAACTGCCATCCAACCACACTGATTTAGAGAAAAGAAACATCTGCCTCCCTGGTTGACTAGGCCCTGCTAAAATCTGAAGCAGGAAGATCAATGTGAAAGAGTGAAGATAGGATCCTGCCCTTAAGGTGAACTCTGTAAAGTCTGGTCCTTGATGAACTCTGCTTCTAACCTGTCACATTCTTCCTCCTGATTGAAGAGGGAGAAGGGACTATAAGAAGCAGTCAAGCATAAGGAAGACTGGCATGGTGAAGATTCAGCTGTCTTCTTCTTCAGAAAATGCAACAGTAACTTTTTTTCTAATATATAAAATACCCCTGTGGTCATCAGATATTTGTGAACAACTTTTTTAGTTTGCAATCTGATAGGCCTCTCCTAATAATCTATGCTATTCATTCACAGAGCAAATAGAAGTTAAACACTAATAAATTATAATCCGGTTTATGAGAATTGCTTGGAATTCCAAAGTTGTTCCTTATTTTTGTACTGGATCTAGAGACCACACTAATCAATTCTGTCAGTGCTTTGTGCTTCATTGTTGAAGTATCAGGATCAGTTGAATAAACTTTGGTGCCACTATTTCGGAACTTTTTCAATAGCCCTATTGTCCCTTTCAAATATCCAATTGGCTCTTCTATTCTAAAGGTAAAGCAACCAAGTCTAGTAATAATGGTAATACTTTGGATTCATGTCAAAAAATTCCAGTTGTCATTTTTTTTGCAAGCGCTTAACAGTTTATAACTTAAATGAAGCTATACTTCCTAAGAAGCACTAATTAACTTATTATTAATAAATTATGAATGAGCAAAAGTATTTATTTCTAAGTGGTTGATGCATGCATTTTCCTCTTTGTAACAAAATGTGTGAAATTCTAATAAAATAACTTGTTATACTAAAATTGATATAACTAAACTCTCTTCTATAATGGTCAAAAAGAAATCAGTGAATATTAAATTTGAAGATGACAGCTAGTGTAAAAAGCAGGCAAATAAGTGTATAGGTTACTTGTATTCTGTCACTGTCTTTTTGTACTTGAAATAAGACCACCTAGAAATTATTTAAGTTTTCGTGTTGGCACTGACATCTCAATTGTCTATGCCATCATGAGTATATCAAATGCAGGTGTTCCTCTTCATGTCAGGGTATTGTGTGTGGGTGCTAATTTACTTCAGTCATATCTAGTTCTTTGCAACCCTATGTACCATTTCCCTCCCGGCCCCTCTGTCCATGGGATTCTCCAGGCAAAAATCAGGAGTGGGTTGCCATGCCCTACTCTAGGGCATCTTCCCAACTTAGGGACTGAACCCACATCACTTATGTCTCCTGCATTGGCATATGGGTTCCTTACAAGCAGCACCACCCGGGAAGCCGGTCAGTGTATTAACAGTTAATATTACTTAATATGCCTTCATTTCTTACATGTCATATGGAAGACATGTAACTACATATATTTTGATCACTTTAGAATTGTAACTTTGAAGTTCAACTCATAGAATAAGATATTACCCTTACCCTAACAGGTTCTATGGAGATACGATGGCAAAAAACCAGACACATTAGGACCCAACACTCGGCTATATAAGTGGATCCCCCAGAACGACCTTCTTGGTAAGACTTGGTAGAAAAAAATATTGAAAACTTGAGTAACAGCTGAGCAAAGTGACAGCGCTTCAAAAGGAAACAAATGTATAGAGAATTATTGAAACACTTGAAAAATGTATTCTTTTATTTTTATTTCCTATGCTAGGGGAAAAAGAAAGAATGTTTAACAATTGGCCTTTTATTCTACACAATCACACCCCTTATGGCCAGAATCTTTATTTTGGCTCTAATTTCACTCACCGTGATCTTTTCAATAACTTCCTGGATTGTTGTCCTGTCTCTGAATTCTTTCCTTATACCTCTCTTTTCTCCTCTGTAAGGGGTATGCTAAATGCTACTAAAAACAAGTTCCCTTTTTATTACAGGTGTCTTTCCATTTCCTGTAAAAGAGAAAAATCTGCAATCATTGTTATGACACAATAACACACTTCATGACAGAAGCTTGCTTTTCCATCCTCTGGCCCCAGTGCCACTACCTTTACCCTTCTTTTCCCCTGATACCATTCCTGTCAGACTAAATGACTCCACTATATCTTTAAGAGAATAATTTCAGTCATGCCCTTCTCTTTTTTTGCACATGTGGTTTCTTTTACCCAGAATGTTCTTTCAAGTTGTTCACCTGCCAATCATGGATTCATCTGTGACGTTCAAGTGACTCAGCACTTCTTTCACAAAGTCTTCATTTACTTTCAGCAGACATACCAGTTTCTTTTCTGAGTTCTGAAAGCAATTTAAAAGCACTCTCATATGTGTAATAATCTGTTATCTTAAAAAAACACTGCTTTTTTCAGTGCCTTATAAAGCCCATTTCTCATTTTATTCTGAAAGTTATAATTAATTATTTTATTGAAATTCACTCAATCCTAGGTCATCCAAAAACCAAAGCCTTTATAACTCATGGTGGAAGCAATGGCATTTACGAGGCCATCTACCACGGAATCCCTATGGTGGGCCTTCCTTTGTTTGCTGATCAACCTCATAACATTGTTCACATGACGACCAAGGGAGCAGCTATCAGACTGGACTTGGAAACAATGTCAACAGAAGATTTGCTCAATGCGTTGAAGGAAGTCATTAATAATCCTTTGTGAGTATACATTTTTACCTGACATTCTATCCAGAGAAGTTCTCATCTGAAGGCCAAGGAGGCAGAAATGAGCCTTCACATAAGTATAATGAAGAGTAAGATTTACTCAATGTTTTGAAAACAATCAATAATAACCTATTTTGAGTGTCTCAACATTTTTTTATGGTTTTATGGGAAAGGTTTGTCAATAGTTTCAAGATAGTAGAGAAATTCTGAAAGACTTAAGCATTAAAATGAGAAGAATCACTGAAATGGTAATAGAAGGATTAAGACACATTGAGAACAAAGATAAGTAGGGAAACATGCATCATATTAATATGAATACTCATCTGCCCACTTTACTTTCTTTCTGCCTGTGAACTCCTCAAATGTTTTAAACTCTACAAAGATACTTTATTTTCAGTAAACTACTTTTGACATAATCAATCTTAAATTCCCATTACATTTAATATTTTCCAAGTTTTCTATGCTAATATTCTGACCCCATCACTGATAAATGGTTAACACCTAGAACTTTCTAATTACTCAGTTTCAACTATGTAAATAATATTTATAAATACAGGTTTATTCTTAGGTTTTCTGATTGTGATAATTTTTGTCTAATTTAGAAGAATTATAAATCTAAATGCAATTGATTTGGAAGGATATGTTGAGATATTCCTTTTTAAAAATTTCTTACACAATTTTAAAGCCTATTTTCTATTCAAAATTATTACCAAATATTGGTTATGTTCACAGTGTTGTACAACACAACCTTGAGCTTATATTATTCCCAGTAATTTTAGCTTCCTACACCCTTATGTGTATATTTCTATTCCTCCAATCTGGTAACCAAAATTTGTTCTCTATATCTACAAGTTTTTAATAATACTTTGCTAATAGAACTTTCTAACTTAATTTCAACTATGTAGATATTGCTTATAAATGTAGATATATCCTGAGTTCTTTAGGTTGTGATTGATTTTGTCTTATTTGGAAGAGATATGATGGGATATTACTGTCTAAAAGCCAAATTTTCCAAAATGAGAAATATTTGATTTCCAAATCACTTCAGATATATGTGAACTTCAGTAACACAATTATATTAATATCATAAATATGATATATATATGTTTCCCCTATTGTTTTATAATGACTTTGCAATGAAACATTTTGAGACTGTCAGTAATAGTAGCACAGTGTGTATTTGTATCTTTATAGGAGTGTTATTTAAATTTAATTTTAGGACAGCTATTGTCCTATATTTTTCTTATTTTTTTCTTAAGTAATTTTTTTTCTTAAGTAATAGATCTTTCATTTGATGATCCTAAATAAATGTACATCTCTTTAGTATCTTTATATTTTTTTAATTTTAATAATGTAAAGTTGATGTCAAAATGAAGATGACTTTTTAGCTGCTATATACTGAATATTCATGATATGCTACATATTTTATTTAGTAGCATAGTGTTACTTTACACATATTAAGCAACTTCTTTTTTGTAGTCTATTCATGAGATGGTTAGATAGTATCACCGACTCAATGGACATGAGTCTGAGCAAGCTCCGAGAGTTAGTTATGGACAGGGAAGCCTGGTGTGTTGCAGTCCATGGAGCCACAAAGATTCGGACATCACTGAGTGACTGAACTGATCCCTATTGTATCACAAAAATGTTTCCTGATTACTGCAATCCTTGCAAACACCAAGTGCTCCCCCTGTGTTTTGACAGAAAAGGGAGAAAAGTTAATTCCATTGTTATTGCTGCAGTGCCCTGTTATAGCACTCTGTGATTTAGAGTTCATGAACCATATCTCATTATTCTTCCTACTTTCTTGTCTGTTAGCCATCATATCTAGGTCAGGAAAATCCCCTGAAGAGAATGGCTACCGACTCTAGTACTCTTGCCTGGAGAATTCCATGGACAGATGACCCTGGCAGGCTATGGGATTGTAAAGAGTCAGACACAACTGAACACAAACACACACACAGTCTATCGTCATTTCAACAGTAGAAACAGTACAATGCCTGAAAGTGAAATTTTTAGTCTTCTCCACATTCTAAGAGAATCTTGTTCTAAAAGAACAAGAACCAGGAGAACAATATGAGAAAACATTTTCTGAGAGTATACTAGATTCTAAGAATGTCTCTAAGAATCAATATGATATTCTCAAAATAACCAGATAAGGTACTATTTCTATCCATTTTATACAAAAATGAAAACCTGAGGAGCAGACTCTATTGTGATTGGGCCCTCCAATTATGAAATAAAAAGTTTAAAAGATAAAAATGTTTTTAAAAATTAATAAAATTAAGTTTTTAAAAAACTAAGGGACAGAAAGAATAAAAAGCAGCCAGCAAGTATCAGAGTCAGAAATCAAACGAAGTCAATCCACTTCCACACTTTCAACTACTACTTCACTAATGTAATATCAGTCCTTTCTGGACCTGTCTCTCAACCACATCATAGATTTACTTGCTATATCTGGATTATGACTGCATTTTAAAACATGTTTACCAGGTCAATTAACAGGTCAATTACTAGATAATTCAATCGTTGAACAAACAAATTATGATTTTTTTAAATTTTTTTTTCACTTTGGAACAACTCATGCCACTTTAGACTACACAGTCTTTTCCCTCTCATTTTCTTTCTTTTCTTTGTAACTTGAAATCCTAAGAATTTAAGAAATCCTAGCCCATAAGCTGGGTTTCCCTTGTATCTCAGATGGAAAAGAATCCACCTGCAATGCAAGAGACCCTGGTTAATTCCTGGGTCGGGAAGATCCTGGCAAAGGGATAGAATAATCCAGTATTCTCAGGCTTCCTTGGTAGCTCAAATAGTAAAGCATCTGCCTGCAATGCAGGAGACCTGGATTCAATCGCTGGATTGGGAAGGTCCCCTGAAGGAGGGCATGGCAACACACTCCAATATTCCTACCTGGAATATCACCATGGATAGAGTGAGTAGCCTAGCTGGCTACAGTCCATGGTGTGGCAAAGAGTCGGACATGACTGACTGATTATGCACAGCACAGCCCATAAGCTAAGATCTCAGGAATCACCTTGGAGGAAAAGTAGCTACTTTGCTTCCACTCTGTGTTGCACTCTTTGTTACCATTTGCAAGAAAATTTCACTTATTTATCTATTAAAGCTCGTTCTATAAATTGATCACTGATCTTCCTTTAGCTACAAAGAGAATGTCATGAGGTTATCATCCATTCAACATGACCAGCCTATGAAACCCTTGGACCGAGCGATCTTCTGGATTGAATTTGTCATGCGGCACAGAGGAGCCCAGCACCTGCGGCCCGCCGCCCACGACCTCACCTGGTTCCAGTACCACTCTCTGGACGTGATCGGGTTCCTGCTGGCCTGTGTGACAACTGCTGTGTTTGTCATCACAAAGTGTTGCCTGTTTTGTTGCCGAAAGTTTGCCAGCATAGGAAAGAAGGGGAAAAGAGACTAGCTGTTTCTGAGCTGTCTAGCAGGTTTGCCACATAAATAGAATGCCTCATTTATTACAGTAAGATGAATTATGATAAAGTTCGACTCCTCTTGTGACAAAATGTAAATTTTACTTTCAAGGGATTTTCTACCTGACAAAAAATATGTCTTGCCAAGAAAAGACACTGATGAAAAATGAAATAAAAATAAAACTATATGCATACATATTGAAATTTATTATTTTAATTCAAAAGTTAATCTAAAAGAAATGATTGTGTTTATTTTTCACATGCTCTATGTAAAAACAACAACAATAAGAAGTCTACTTATAGCATGTGTCATTTTCTAGATATTCAGAATTTTTAACTTCATTTTCATGTCAAATTTTATAGCTTTTTCTTGTTATTGAAATTGTTCAATAATTGGAATTCTGTAAAAAGATTCAATCCTTTATTCTATTTGTGAGACCACTATCACTTCCTCATTACTGTGCATGCAGCCTCAGCATCACTTCCTACCTAGAGCCATGGCAAGATATTTGCTTTCATCCAGTTTAGCTTATTTCCCAGAAGAGTGTTTGTAGGATTAGAAATATAGCAACTGCTACCTGCTTCCTATTATAAAATTGAAATATTTGTGAAAATCTTTAATTTCATGACTTAATTCTTCTTTTCTCATCCACCTTTAGTCACCTATTATTTTCCCTCCCATATTCAACTTTTAATAATGTATGTAAGTTCTCAACTATATAGTAAGAAATTATGTAACCTAGACTCTAAAGGGACTTAGAGAATTTTCATTCTCTCCAAATGTACCTGAATTTATCTACAGATCTTATCAATATCTAAATACATATCTAAGTCTATACATACTCTTACAAAACAAGACACAGCATCACTTATCTACTTGCAGTTATGATGTGACATCCAATGGGTTTGTTGACCATAGATTGAATTAATTACTATTGCATTATAAAGTATTTTGAACCACACTTTTGATTAGCATTTATCATTCTTTTGTCTCTTTCTTCAAGCAGCTATTGCCTCTTTCCTTACCATAGCACTTACATGAAAAATTCAATTCTTTATCATGACAGAAAATAACATAGACATCATGTTCTTTAAACCTGGGCCCACTATGACTCACATAATCAGCAACAATGAGAACAATACAAAAATTACAGAAATGTTAAGAAAAATTAGTGATTCAGATGAAGCAATCTGAAGCCACATTCATGAAAACTGTACATCAGGAAAGCAGTTTATGATCAAAGTGGTCCAGTGAAGAAATGAGTATTTTAGTCAAGAAGACCATCATCCACACCATATGACATTCATCAACCTAAGACATAACTAATAATAAAAATAAAATCAAACATTGAGGCTCGGAGAATAATAGGAAGATTTACCACAGGACTTTCAATATAACCCCTCTAGATAATTGACACATTTCTGAAGAAAAGTAGAATTAATATGCTGCCATAGTAGAGAGTATTGTTAACTCACATATATAGACTTATATAATTTGCCCCAAATCTATCCAGCAATAATTGTAACATAAAAAGGACTGGTAGTCACTGTACAATGAGAATGACTATGGATCTACAACAAAAACTCAAGAAGCCCAAAATGAAAATAAGCAAAGAATGTGAACAGGAAATTCATGGAAGTAAAATTGCCAATGATAATTTAAAGGTAACAAAAGTCACTGGTTCTTCAGGAATAGAAATTAAGTCAAAAATTTATTATTTTTTACCAAAACTTTGCAGAGCAATTGATCTGGTAGGATTAATTTTGAAGAAGTATAATAACATGGAAAGAATCATTTTAAATGAAATTTAAACACACTTGTTTTACATTCAAACCCAAAAGGGAGACACCATCCCATAAAGTTTAAGGTATTGTACTGTAAACACAAATAGTGTAGAGTTAAATCACTACAAAATTACTATGGATTAGTTTGGGATCATTGCAGTTACTTAACTTCCCTATGCCCCAGCTGTTCCATCACATAAAGTAATGAAGATAAAGTAATGGTATCAATCAATTCATGGGGTTAATAGAGTCTGAATACATTAACATTATAAGGGATTAAATAAATGCTGTACATAGTGGAATGCAATTTGCACTAACGTTTCTCACTAAAATGAATAAGAAATGTCAACAATGATTTTAGTCCAATTTTTGGTGTAATGCTTCAAACATAAATGATAATAACAACATTTTATATTAAATTTGTAGAAATTAAATGTGTCAGAATTAAATTTATCATACAGGTTTGGATCAAGGTGGTGGAACAAGAGGACATGGTGTTCACATCCCCCATAAACACATCAAAAATGGATCTTCCTGTGGAACAATTCTCACAGAAAACTATCTTCAGACTGGAAGAACTCTTATACAAATATAGGTGCAAGAAAGATTTCCACATAACTTACAGGATGGAAAGTAGTCATAAGATTGGTTGTTTCTGAGAGGCATATAAAAAGAGAGAATGTCCAAACAGGTGAACTGTCCCCTTGGGGAACTAAGGAGTCAAGCCACAGAACGGGTGTCCCAGATTGGGGTCCTACGTGGAGGGGGAAAGCCCACTGGTTTCTGGGAGAACTACCGACACAAAGTGCATGGCTGAGAAGTCTAGACTCTGTTCTCAAAGAGTACACAGGTGCTACTTGCCTACAGACAGTGAGGAGAAGCTCCACGCTGGCATCTTTCACCTCGCCATGCACCTGAATCCAAGCAAGATAAACAGTCCAACCTCTTCATTTCACACAACACCTTGGCACATGATCTGGGTAAGCTGGGAAAACACTCAGACTAGCTATGATGATAAAGCTTGGGACTCGGGTGTATTCTGAACGGGGTGACCACTGGCAGTACTGGCATTTATTGGGCATTGTTTAAAAAATAACCATGATCACATGCCATAGTCCATCCACCAGCTGACCAAGTGCTTTGTCTCCACCTACTCCACTGGTCACAGCAAACACCTTCTTCCAATAACATGGGAGAAGACTCTGCACATGGACATCATGAGATGGCCAACACTGAAATCAGACCAATTCTATTATTTGCAGCCAAAGACGGAGAGCTCTATACAGTCAGGAAAAATAAGACTGGGAGCTGACTGTGGCTCAGATCATCAGAACATGAACTCCTTATTGCCAAATTCAGACTTAAATTGAAGAAAGTGGAGAAAACCAATAGACCACTCAGGTATGACCTAAATCAAATCCCTATGATTATACAGTGGAAGTGAGAAACAGATTTAAGGGACTAGATCTGATAGACAGAGTGTCTGATGAACTACGGTTTGAGGCATTGTACAGGAGACAAGGATCAAGATCATGCCAAGAAAAAGAAATGCAAAAGAGCAAAATGGCTGTCTGAGGAGGCCTTACAAATAGCTGTGAAAAGAAGAGAAGCCAAAAGCAAAGGAGAAAAGGAAACATATAACCATTTGAATTCAGATTCCAAAGAATAGCAAGGAGATATAAGAAAGCCTTCCTCAGTGATCAGTGCAAAGAAATAGAGGAAAACAATAGAAGGGGAAAGACTAGAGATCTCCTTAAGAAAATTGGAGATACCAAAGGAATATTTTAGGCAAAGATGAACTCAATAAAGGACAGCAATGGTATGCATCTAAAAGAAGCAGAAGATATTAAGAAGAGGTGGCAAGAATACACACAATAGCTGTACAAAAAAGATCTACATGACCCAGATACTCACAATGGTGTGATCACTCACCTAGAGCCAGACATCCTGGAATGTGAAGTCAAGTGGGCTTTAGGAAGCATCACTACAAACAAAGCTAGAGGAGGTGATGGAATTCCAGTTGAGCCATTACAAATCCTGAGAGACGATGTGGTGACAGTGCTGCACTCAATATGCCAGCAAATTTGGAAAACTCAGCAGTGGCCAAGGGACTAGAAAAGGTCAGTTTTCATTCCAATCCCTAAGAAAGGCAATGCCAAAGAATGCTCAGACTACTGCATAGTTGCACTCATCTCACATGCTAGTAAAGTAATGCTCAAAATTCTCCAAGCCAGGCTTCAGCGATACATGAACCATGAACTTCTGGATGTTCAAACTGGTTTTAGAAAATGGAGAGGAAACAGAGATCAAATTACCAACATCTGCTGGATCATCGAAAAAGCAAGAGAGTTCCAGAAATACATCTATTTCTGTTTTATTTGACTATGCCAAAGCCTTTGACTGTGTCCATCACCACAAACTGTGGAAAATTCTGAAAGAGATGAGAATATCAGACCACCTGACTTGCCTCTTGAGAAATCTGTATGCAGGTAAGGAAGCAACAGTTAAAACTTGACATGGAGCAACAGACTGGTTCCAAATAGGGAAAGGAGTACATCAAGGCTATACATTGTCACCTTACTTATTTAACTTACATGCAGAGTATATCATGAGAAACGCTGGGCTGGATGAAACAGAAGCTGGAATCAAGATTGCTAGGAGAAATATCATTAACTTTAGATATGCAGATGACACCAACTTTCTGGCAGAAAGTGAAGAAAAACTAAAGAGCCTCTTGATGAAAGTGAGAGAGTGAAAAAGTTGGCTTCAAGCTCAACATTCAGAAAACTAAGACCATGGCATATGGTCCCATCACTTCATGGCAAATAGATGGGGAAACAATGGAAATAGTGGCTGACTTTATTTTGGGGGGCTCCAAATCACTGCAGATGGTGACTGTAGCCATGAAATCAAAAGATAATTACTCCTTGGAAAGAAAGTTATGACCAACCTAGACTGTATATTAAAAAGCAGAGACATTACTTTGCCAACAAACGTCTGTCTAGTCAAGACTATGGTTTTTCCAGTAGTCATGTATGGATGTGAGTTGGACTGTGAAGAAAGTTAAGTGCCGAAAAATCGATGCTTTTGAACAGTGATGTTGGAGTAGACTCTTGACAGTCCCTTGGACAGCAAGGAGATTCAACCAGTCTATCCTGAAGGAGATAAGTCCTGGGTGTTCATTGGAAGGACTAATGTTGAAGCTGAA